AAATACCAACAGAATGATTCCGTTACGAGATTGATTGTAGCATTTTCCGTATGTATATACATGTCAGTTTTTTTATTTTTTATTTTTATTTTTTTTAGAAAACATAATTTACTAGTTCTACAAACAAAGCTTACAAAAACAGTCGTTACATTTCATTTTTTTTTCCACAATCTAGATTACTTAACTAATTTAATTTTTGTTTTTTTTTTTTTAAATTGAAACATTAGTCAGCCAATTACCAATGGACGTTTAATTATCGAAAAACTTGATTTCATCAGCAAAATTTTGGAAAATTAATTTCTATATAACTTTTTTTTTTTTTTTTTTTGGAAAATCATATTGATTTTGATTTTCCTCACTAATGAATAATAAATAATTTAGAAAAAAAATATTACAGAAAATAAAACCAATTTATAAATTTGGGAAATTCGTAAATTCCAATAAATAATTATTTCAACAGCTCCTTAAAATGAAAATTTTGGCCTGAAAAAAATGTATGTGAAAATGTATGTAAAAATTCTTTTTTTTTTTTTATTTTACAAATGTTATTTGTAAACAAAAAGAAAACATGATATATTTAACATAATAGTATATTCATGTAGTAAACCACCCATTATAATTTGTAACACATTCAATATATAATATATAATTCCCGTACAAGCCATTTTTGGGATAAAAAAAGGTTTGGTTTTGTTTAATCTTAAAATTTTGGGTTTTGTTTAATTCTTCAAAATATAAACTTGAAATTGATTCCATACACTTATAAAATTTTACCATCCTTAAATTAAGTAAATTTATAGTTTTAAAATAATAAGGCTATAGATTATCATGAAAGACCATTTACAATCTCTGTTATATTGAGTTATGCAATGTTTTAGACGATATATACTAAAAGACCACACAAATAATGTTGTATACAGAAATATGTTTAATAATGTATAAGTTACATTTTGTTTTATTTCAATACATGTACGTTTTCCAATCATCTATTTATCCAAATCTAAATGATTGTATTAATAAAATAGTACCTAATTACAATTTAAAATACATATTGTTTCTGATTTTATATCTCATGTATCCAATTAATTTGGTCTTTTTGGAGTGAGCGCATTCATGCATCTGCGCCCAATTGCTTTGCTGACAAATTTGTTTTTTATGTCAAAAACTCAAAATTTCAGCGAGTTTGCTGATCCAAAATGCATTGATTCAACAAGGGCTATTGGTAATTTTTATATAGTTTGAATAATTGTTTACAAATTAATTTTCTTTTATATTATAACGTTTTCTAATTTTTTGTCAATTTGTAGATATCATTGGTCGTATACTTTTCTGTATAGTATGATTTTAGTAAGGTTCTCTGTAAACCGGATATATATAAAAGCGTGATTTTAGTTATTTATGTCAACAAATAATTTTAAAATTTTCAACCATACCAAGCCGGATATTAAATAAAATGAGTGATTGCATGTGTCAACAAAGAATTAGTTAAGCAATCTGAATAATAATTACTAATAAATATTCGACGATTCCAAAAAAATTATGATTGTTAGTTAAATTATCTGACGATTCGTCGGTGATTTCTAAATTTTATATTTTTGTTATCTAGTTAATCAATATATAACATGCGTGTAATTGCATATGTATCCGACAATGAAAAAAATTCCAGCCATTTCAAAATATCCAGTTTTTCCTAAATTATATATAACACCCCGCTATTTTACTAATATCAGAGTCAATTTTTCGCAAAAATCTTTTCAAAATTACTTATTAAATTGCGAAATTTTAAATCGGGATGCTACTAAAACCCTTTTTGTTTCGAAAAATTCGTTATTTTTTTTCTGAGTTTAACTGTAAAGAAAACGGTTTATATTTAGTCAAACTAGCATGTAATACTGTATAAAATTTGTCTGATAAATCAGATCAAAATCTAAAAATCAACATGCGAGTTTGTAAATCTGTAAATGTCAGCGGAAGTAAAATGCGGCAAAATATATACAACAAAAGTCTGCAAAATGGCGTCTAGCCGAACCCACGACCACCAGCTGAGCTCACACCTCTGGACCGACCATGTGATCTGAAAAAGAGAAAGGAGTGGGGGCGTGAGCACTAAAAGCCACTGTGCTCCGCAGAAACTCATACTAAAGTAAACAACAATAATAATTGCAATATCATGATCAATGGTATATATATAACTGTAACTGGTACTGATACTGAAACTGAAACTGCAGATCAATAGTATATAATCTGCTATTGGATCAGAAACTGTATCTGCCGGCTATAAAAACTGCGTCGGAAGCCTGTGTGCACACTCTAGTGGGCAGATTACGCCACTAGAACTTAGGATGGACTTACGGTAACTAGCTACCCTAAGCGGAAACTGAATATACATACCTCGAATATGATATCAGTAATTATACTCAATGTAATACTCAATCTGAGTCCCCACTTGTACTGCTGGTTTGAAAATATAAGTGTTGATTGACTGCTGACTGTTCAAACTTCATCGAGCTCAAAAAATGGCACAAGGGCCCTCTCTCGGCCCTTGTTCGAAATCTATGGGCTAGGCCTTGGCTAGGGCTGCTCCCGTCTGAAATGAACGACTTCACTAGACCTCTAATACTCCCAGAAGCCCTATGGAATCAGGTTGGTACGTGGTGTATACTAGATTATTATTATTATTATTATTATTATTATTATTATTATTATTATTATTATTATTATTATTATTATTATTATTATTATTATTATTATTATTATAGTATTTAAATATTTAGTGGCTTGGTGGGCAAGATAGCTTATAGGGTTTTGGGTGTCTTATTTAAAGACCCCTCTTCTTTATTATTCAGTGGTTGAGTTTGAATGAACAAAAGATATTATTGAGTTTTACGTGTTTTACGAGAGAGTATCTCGTTTACTCGTTTATCTTTCCCACTCGTACGCTTCCCTACATCAGTTGGTATCAGCAGTCAGTACGATTTGCGATGCCGTTGGGACAAGATGCCGCAAACAAACAACGTGATGCAACCTTCAACGATCGGTTTCAACAGATTAACTACCGATTTCAAGAGTTGGGCGTGCGTTTCACGGATTGGTTTGCTGATCTTTCGACGGGGATCGAGGATTTGCATTTGACGCTTAACAACGTAGTTGTTTCGGAATTGCAAACGAACCGCGATGAGGTTGTGGGCCGTGACTTTCGCGCGGGAGACAAATGCGGTTGTGGGGGACGCAGCCATGTCGGGGCGCCCCGGCAGTGGTCCCCGCCACCTCTAAACGGCTTCGTGGACGGCGACGATCAACGCAACGACATGGGCTGGAGCAAGGAGGCAGCCTTCGCTGGCGAATATAGTGTCCAACGGGATTGGCGACTTGTTCGCGAATATGGTCATTGGGAGGGCCCGTTTCGCGTCGACATCCCTGAATTCGATGGAGAGGAAGTTGACGGGTCATTGTATGACAGTCCGCCGATCTTTGATGAAGAACCTCCAGTGAAGAAGAAAAATCTTTGCGGGGACATGGGAATTGATGAGAATGCAGTTGTCTGCATGGATGGAGATGGGTGCAAAATTTGTAGTGGATCGGTGTCAATTGATGTATATTCAAATATTGATACATCCATTGCTTATGATTCATGTGGTATGTGGTATCACATTTTTTGTGTGGGATTTGATCCTGAAGGCATATGAGCTGGCTCATGGTTGTGCCCAAGAGTCTTGGTATTTGTTGCTTTCATTTTTGTTGATGATGATGGTCGACGTTCAACCTTCGTGTTTGATCGGAGAAGGCGACGGGGTTCCCTCTTTTCAACTTAAGCAAATCAACAAAATCAACTTATGGGCCATATTATTCCCTCTCTAGACGCTAGGCGCTGGTCGAGCGCCTAGCGGGCGCCTAGCGACTTTTAGAACACTGGTTTTTTCTTAAATTAAATCCGATTGTTACTTAATTAGTGCGGTGGATTATGCAGTGGTAAATTATGCAGTGGATTCGAATATGCGAAAAGTTCTCGTATATTGTAAGTAATGTGGTGGATTTAGATATGCAGGTCGTAAACTATGCGGCATAATGTCGCGTAGTCATAAAATATGCGACGTTCGATTTGGATACGCTATTACATAATATGCTCAATTATTTCACATATCTGTTAACTATGCGTTCGATTTAGATATGCGAGACATAAAATATGCAAAAACTTGTTGCATTATCGTAGAATATGCGGCTACCAATTCGTATATGCCATAATTATATATGCAAAATAAATTCGCATAACAAAAATTATGCGGTGTATATGAATATGCGATAAATAAATCTGCGAATGTGTTTTTTTACCAATGTTAACTATGCGTCTGTTTTGGATATGCCTTAGTATATATATGACAAAATCTCGCATAAGTGTAAATTATGTTGTTCATTTAAATATGCGATTTTATATCACATATAGTTTTGTGACCGGTGGGGTGAAAAAGATTTTTTTTTTTTTTCGTAGAATAGTGTGTCAAAAAAAGTGCAGGCATATATTGGGGTGTGAAAAAAATTAGGTCTGTTTATTTTCATTTAATTAATTTTACAAAAGTTTAATAAGGAACACAATGAATGTGGTATTAATTAAATATTAAATACCACAATTTTTAATTATGGTAATTTAATATTGCATCTTCCTTGAATTTACTAATCCTTCTGAAAGTAGGTTTCCATTACTGCCCTAACTTTTTTTTTTGGGTTTTTTCTGTATAAAAACCAATTAGAAGAATATTGTCGTTCTGTTTTTTTTTTTTTGGAAGAAGAATTTTTGGCTTCATTACTGGTAAGAGGTCTTACGAATTCGTCGTGGTGGTTCTTATTGTTGTTGTTATCGTAGTTCTTATGTTTGTTTTCGTTATTGTTGTTGTTGGTGGTCGTGTTATCGTTTGATGTTGTTGATATATGTTGGCGATTGGTCTCTTGTTTTATTCTTGCCCTCGAAAGTTCCATTGCCATGCGTTGATTTTGCAGATATCTGAATGGGAAAGAGAGTGAAGCATCACGTGGAATCCCACGCTGGTGGTCGGAATAAAAGAAAGAGACAGGAAAAGAAGTCGCCGCAGGAAGAAATTGAGCAGGTCGAGAAGAAGAGGAAGACCGACGACCGTGGTTTCATGGAGACAGAGTCCTTTGCTGTTCTCGATTTATCGGAGCCAACGATAAACGCCATTAAGGACATGGGTCATCAGTACATGACTCAGGTGATCAAAACTTTGATGCTGTTGTAGTGTAGCGAAAGATTTCTTTTTTTTGTGTTTAATACTTGGCTATGTAGAGCTTGAAAGTTTGTGCTTGAAAAAATTTATATATTCTGAAGATCCAAGCACAAGCAATTCCACCACTTTTACTCGGCAAGGATGTTCTTGGAGCTGCAAGGACTGGATCGGGGAAAACGCTGTCCTTTTTGATACCGGCTGTTGAGTTGTTGCATCAACTACGTTTTAAGCCGTGCAATGGAACTGGCGTTATAGTCATTTGCCCGACTAGGGAATTGGCCAAACAGGTAAACTCTGTTTCTTGCAGACAACCGTGTAAACGCTTTCAAAGAATCCTTAATGAATTGGTATATGACAGATTCATAGGGAAACAGAAAGGCTTCTCAAGTATCACTCTCAGACGCTAGGCTTGGTAATCGGTGGCGTGTCCATAACGCAAGAAGCGAATCATTTGGTCAAAGGAGTAAATATATTGATTGCAACCCCCGGACGGCTTCTTCACCATCTTCAAAGCACAAAGGGCTTTACCTTTAAAAACCTCAAGGTGTTCACTTGCTTTTAAGGCAAAAACATATTTTTTCTACTATTACAACTAGGTTCTTCTCGCATTTTAGGAATCTGAAGATCTTATAGTTCCAAGTTCCAACAATGAAAGATAAAGATGCTAAACCTTTTCTGTTTATGTATGGGATCTGCAGTGCCTTGTCCTTGACGAAGCTGACAGGATTCTGGAGGAAAATTTCGAGAAAGAAATTAATCAAATCATTTCTATTTTGCCAAAGGTATACATAATTGCATTCCGCTGTGGTCTACATTTTGTATATGAACGATTACTTACTGTTTCGCTTTTTTCCACAACAACGATGCTACTTGTACAGCAAAGGCAAACAGCTTTTTTCTCTGCCACACAGACCCGAAAGGTACAAATTGTGAACTGAATCTTCTTGTTATCCTGTTTTTCCTCTGTGAGAAAAAAAAGTAGAAATAAAAATAAAATCGCATGTTCTGCTGTAATTCTAGGTATAATGTCTGATTGCTACGAAATACAAGACAGCTAGATTCCTAATAACTAACCATGCTTATCAATAAGTATTATTTTGTTAATGTGATATTTCTTCTTTTGTGGATGAAAATGAGAATGGAATCTTGATCTTCATAAGAGGCTAAGCTTTTGACTCGTTTCCAAATTTCAGATTGAGGATCTTGCACGCATATCATTTAAAGAGAAGCCTATTTTTATCAACGTGGAGGAGAAGAGGAAGAGGGTATGCCTTATTTCTTGATTTCTCGAACACTTCGACAAACCGATATCTCCTGGCTTTGTATTTGATTGAAATGCTTACTGTCATAGGTCACGAATGAAGGGCTGCAGGAAGGCCATAGCATCGTACCAGCTTCCAAGAAATTCATTCTTCTCTATGCATTCTTAAAGAAGAACCTGTCTAAGAAAGTGATGGTTTTCTTCTCGACATGCAAAGCTGTCAAATACTATTCCGAGCTTCTTAGGTACATTGGGGTTGACTGCCTTGATATTCATGGAAAACTGAATCAGTCCCGACGGGACTCGGCACACAGCAGTTTCTCGAAAGCTGACAAAGGCATCTTGTTATGTACTGATGTAGCTGCCCGTGGCCTTGATATTCCTGTAGTGGTATACGTCTTAACCTTGATAAGATTTTGTCTCTTCATTTTAATCAATCGAATTCCGTATTTTCCTTTTCTCCTTTCCGACACACCTCTCTTTGCTATTTCAGGATTGGGTCGTTCAGTTTGACCCCCCTGCTGAAACTGAGGTTCAATATATTTTGAAAGCAGTTCTTTCCAATCTATACTTATGATTAAAACTTTTAAGCTGCTAATTTTTTTCAACATCGATAATGTCGCAGAGTTATATCCATAGGGTTGGTCGCACAGCACGTGGGGATGGTGCTAAAGGCAATGCCTTGCTTTTCCTCATTCCCGAAGAGATGCAGTATCTTGGATATCTAAAGGTTCGATTCTCTACATTAAAAAATCAGAACGAGAGAAAAAAAAAAAAAAAAGATTTATTTAACTTGGACGTAAAACTTGCAGGCTGCTAACGTACCTATCAACGAGTATGAATTCAATGAAAAGAAGCTACCGCACTTGCAGCCAGTACTTGTAAGCATTCCGTTTTCTACGTGCCTATCATCCCTAGTTATGTTCTGGGAGCTTATACGCGTGTGCCTGACAAATGCAGGAAAAGTTGGTGGCCAACAACTACTATCTCAACAGGTCAGCTATTGAAGCATACAAAGCACACATTGAAGCATACAAGGGACGTTCTGATAAGACCATCTTTGATGTCCATCGACTTGATATTCAGGTAACGTGATATTTATTTACTTATTTACTAGTGTTGGTACCTGCGATGCACGGGGTATGCTATAAATTAATATTTTATTATTCAAATATTGTTAATTTATTTAAGACAACATGGTAATTATATCTGACTCAATATATCAAGTATCAAGTCAGTAATAATATAAATTTTGTATGAATATCTTTTTTAATTTATTTTTACAGGTTTTGACTATTTAATATATAAATTTTACTATTTATAAGTCTATAAAATAATATCAATATCTAGATTTTAAATTATGATGTTTGTATACAAATTGCTTACATATACTTGTAAAATTACTGATTATCTTGATCTTATCACTTTTTCAACAATTAATATTTTGCATATTGCTTGATAGCTAACTAATGTTTTAACCCGTTAAATTTATTTTCCGTTATTATAATAATAGATGCATAATATATTAATTGGTTGATAATTAAATTTAAATTTTAGTAACTTTAATTGCTTATGCAACAATTTTTTTCATAGAAAACTATTTATTTTTATTTTTAAATTTTTCGTCAATATTTATATATTTAATAAATTTATTCAACATATATAATGAGTGTATTAATATTCAATTTAAATGTTTAGATAAATTATATATTTCAATTATTATTAAATGCTATAATTTTAATTACAATATATGCCTATATTATCCTATTTCATTTTTCTTTATTAAATAGTATATAATAAGAAATATACTTTTTACAACTTAAATCATTTTTTTTATATATATCGATATTTCTAATGGAAAACTTATAATTCTTAATTTCACTCGACCATCAAATAATAATTTTATTAATATACTAAATTTAATTTTCAATATTATATCTAATAATATAATATATTCAATGGAGATATACTTTTTAACGGTTACGTTAACCATATTTTAGCAAATTTTGTTATTACTGTAAATTATTCATTAAGTTAATATGATTCAAACACAATTATTGTGATTGATTATTTGTTAGGTATTTTAAGTGTTTCTAAACGGTTAACATAATTAATAAAATTAAAATCTACAACCAGATAATATAATTAATCAAATCAATATTTCATAATTTGAATATTTTTTAATTGTGTCAAAAAATTACTACGAAATTAATATTAAGATCTTATTGAAAATATATATAATCAATCAATATTCTATTTAAGTCAATTTATAGCTAATGAATATTAGTCATTGAGTAAACAAAAAATAATTAATGTTGATATCTATGTTACCCGGACTCTTCTATTTAGGAAGAATACCCGTGTCATGTTGTGTCGACACTGGTGTGGATATGAGTGTCGGGTGTGGCATTTTAGCCTAAAATGTTCAAGATTTCTAAACTATTGACGAGTCGGACCCGCCTAAATCTATGTCAATTATAGTAATAAAGATTGATCCATTATATAGATATAGATATAGATTTTTTCGTGACTACCAGTTGCCGGTTGTTTAATGTATCTTCTCGTATGGTTTATGTTAGGGAGTGGCTGCTGCTTTTGGCCTGTCGTGTCCTCCAAGGGTCAATTTGGACATTAGTACTCGGGCGTCCAAGGTTAGGAAGCTGCCAAGGAAACGAAAACATGCTTTCGACCATGGGAACCCGTATGGAAGACAGGACGTGCAGTTTGTCAGATATTGAAATTGTATGATTAATTTAATAGTATGCCAATTAAGAACTACTAGAAACATCATATTGTTGCTTTGTAATTTTATTTTACTTGAAATTATTTTTATTATTAGATTTGATTTAATAGTATAAGATAAGTTTCTTCCATTATTTAACAGCAACTGGTGTATTTTATGATAACAATAATAAATGTATTGAATAATAAAATACAATATTAAATACTATTAATAAAATTTATGATGAATAAAATTAAATACAAAAATATTGTGTTGAAAATTCGAAGTAAAATTAATAAATCTTAACGAAATCTATCTCATCTTTGATTTTTTATGTGATGATATAGTCATTATGTTTAAAATAATGATCATTATTATTTTCAACATAAGATAGTTTTTTTAAGTCTTCTTTTTGCGTCACTCTCTTTGAAAAGTAACTCGAATTTGCTACAATTATCATTTGAAATTATCATTTTTTTTATTGTTGATTGAAAGTTAACCCACTATAGTTGAATGTTTTGTTCTCTATTATTTTTACTATGGCCATGTTTGGTAATCAGCTGTTAGCGGACTGCATTAGTTCTTTTGACCAGATGATCGTGTTACTACATTAGCTGTTTTGACCAGCTGATCGTGTTAGTGGTTTGTAAAAAAAGTGTGGTAAAATTAACTATTTTAATTAGATGTTAACATGTAAACTTACTTATAAGTACATCAACATACTTTATTTTATGTTGAACTTATAATTCTTTAGGAAATGAAAATAATTAATATAGAAAATATTTATTGTAGTGGTTTGGAGGATAGACTCCAAAAAGCCATTTGCAATAACTATTTACCAAACACTTTTTTTAGCTGATTAAAAAGTCAAACAACTAAATGGATGAAAAAGCTCTTTTGAGAGCAAAAAACTGAAAAACAACGGGGCAATAGTGATTGCAAATTCAGTTGTATTTGCAAGTATGTTGATATCTGGATCGACATGTTGATCTCCGGATCGACCCGACGGGGAATTACCGGTTCGACCACATAAACCGGGAAAGGACGATCTCGTGGCAAGAGTCGGACAAAGAATCAATACCAGGGGCCGAACTGGTAAAAAGAGAAAGTCACGATGACGTCTAGCGTACTCACAGAGATCGGCACCTGTCACACCGCGTGGGAGTGCCGACGTCGCCCAGTGTCGAAGCAAGATAAAAAATTCCCGAGACCTCTAGGAAGCTCAAAAGTTCAGGTGTCACCTGAGGGTCTGAGGAGATCGGGCAGGAGACAGGCGCAGGGCTCGATAACGATATAATATTACCACTTGACGGTTAATGATGAGCCGATGGGACAAGCTGCCCTAACCTACTACCCTAGGGTATCTAGCTCGGCAAAAAGGGATGACTGCATTTAATACCATCCATGTGGGTATTAAATGCTTGGCAGATCATGATTGGAGGAATCTCAAATCACATTTATTAACTGGCAGAGCGGCGCCAACCTGACTGGCAGAAACTGTTGAACAGTATACGAACAATGCCACATTTAAGAGCACTATAAATAGAAACCCACCTCATTTATTTTGGGTTGTTGAAACCTCAACTACTCTGTTCTCTCTACTTTCTCTCTCTAGAAATCTGTAATAAACTCTTGTAATAATCTCGTGTAACAAAAGAGCCGACCTCATACACAGAGACCGACCTCGTAATTACGTAATAAATTTCATTTTTCGCAGTATTTCTCCGTCATTATCATACCTTACTTTTAATATCATTTATTTTAAACATTGATTGGATTCGTCCATCAGCAAAGTATAATATTTCATACTTTTTGGATATATATTTTTTCTCCGGTGATATAATGACACAAAAGATATAAATAATTAAAAATGTCTTTAAAGTCGTAATTATTTCAAAAAGAAAATTTACTTGAAAACGTCTTTAAAGTCGTAATTATTTAAAAAAGAAAACTTACCTGAAAATGATTAGGGACAATAACATTCTTGATTGATTAAAGGTATCCATCTATCTATATATATTGTCGTAACATTGGTTGATTGGAGGTACCTATCTATAAATAATGTCCAAACCAAATTATTGTTGCATCTCCTAACATTGTCATGCATGCATTATCATGTTCGTTCATGTATTTTCAAGACTATCCTGAAAGTGAAAAACAAATAATTTCATTTTAATTAATGAATTATAAAATAATGATTATTTCACATTTTACTTTTATCTTAATATTATTTTTCTATATTTGTCAATATTTTTATAAAGTCCATTATTGGGCATTTTATAATCAACTCCCCCCTAATTTTCTTCCGCTTCACTCCTCTCACTGTATTAAAATAATAACCCTCTAATATTCCTACAATACCCTTAGATTCATTTTAGTTTAGAAAAGTAGTACTAGTTTATATTGAAATTGTACCTCTTTAATAGGATAATAATACCTGCTTTATTAATTAGGAGTTCCTAGTCTCTTAGTACTTGAGTTCAGTGAATAAAATATCGTACCGTACTGACCGTTGGTATGGTACCATTATACACAAAATACCTAACTTATGGTGAAACATGTTGTACCGAAATCGTACCGTACCATTACACACTAAATACCTGACTTACGGTGAAACCTGTTGTACCAAAATCATACCGTAAATATCGAAAAATATTGGTCAACAAATAAAAAAAGAAAGTAAAAAATATTAAGTATGTAGAGAGTTATGATGGTCGGAATAAAATCTTGCATAAAAAGTTACAGAAGAAAATGTCCTGCTTGACAATCAACTTCACATAATAAATTTGTTTTACTGGAAGTGAATTTCGAGATATATATGATGTACCATTTGAAAGACAAGAGAGTCTAGTATTCAACAACAAAAAAAAAAGACATTAAAAGTTATTAAGTATGTCGAGAGTTATGATGGTTGGAGTAAAGTCTTGCAAAAAAGGTTATTACACGAGAAAATTTTCTGCTTGACAATCAACTTCACATAATAAACTGTTTTTTCTTTAAGTTAAGGGTTACAGAGTGTTTCTGGCCTTAGAATGTACACTAGATTCCTTGATCTTCTTTATTTTGTTCAAGTAGGTTTATGTCTAGAGCATCTGGAGTAAGATGTATCTCTCGTATTAGGGCCAGTCGGTCCTCGATTTGTATTCCTGTACATTCAGTGCTATAATATTCCCTATCGATTTGGAAAAAAAAAATGGATATATA